TCGCTGCTCCGGACGCAGGGGGCGGTGCGCCTCGGCTTTGGCTACCGGGCAGCGCCGAATTTGGTCGCTTTTCTGCAGTTCCGCCGGCTCACTTTAGGGTTAAAAACCTCGAAAACCCGCCCTTCGGTGTTTGATACTGTGCAGCAGCTGCCAGTATCTAGAGGTTCTCTCCAGGTGAACTAACCACCTGTTCAACCGGGAGGTGGACGGGCGGCTGCAGTCCTCGCCCTCCTTAACAGCCTGAGTCTTTGAACTTCTCACACGGCTTTGGAAGGGCGTCATTGCATTAGGTGAAGGTAAATGAACAGATAATTTCGGCGTCGAATTGCAAGCCGAACGTTGATTATTTTAACGATCGTGGTCCTTAATTCTGTTAAACTATTAGCGTTAGAAACCTTGGGATATTGGTGGGAGACTGTAATGGTTCCTGGGGATGCTGGGATTCGTAAATTAGAAATTCTCTTTTGTGAAATTTTATGTAAATTCCTCTGGATGCCTATTAACTAAGAATAACAGGCTGATGAGATTTTCGTTTTCTTTTTACAATATAAATCCTCATTACGTTTTCACGGTGGGCTTTTACAGCAGCCACATAATTATTTTGCTTCTTGCTGTGGTCTGTGTTCTTAGTCCTTATAACCAAACTTTGTGTTCTGTATTATAAGAATGAAATAAGAGTTGAACTCTTTCTGTAATGTTTTATCACCATGTTCTTACGAGTATCAGAACCAAACATATGCCACTCAGGAGTTCGAGCCATATGCTAGGCAGAAACAAATTGAGTTTTGTGGCTTTTATCTTGTGTTTGGATAAATTTTTTTTGAATTTGATAAATCTCTAATTCTTGTCATCTTGTAAGTTGTATTTAAATCGCCTAAAATCTTCAAGAGAAGTCCTTTCTTCTTAATATTTGCTTGTTTGAATTAAATTTTAAGTAATGAGATAAAATGTCCACTGAGATTGATGGTGGGCCTGAAAGAAAACACTGATGAAGATTTTAAACACATCTTTTATAATGTATACCCCAAAAATTTGTTTTTAGTATTTTAACACTCTTGTAATTTTTGGTATCACTAATACTCATTAGTGGGAAAAAGGGATGATGACAGGAAAACAAAAAGCTTGTGAAATTTTTTATGTTAAATTTTATATTTAAAAATTCTAGCTGTCACACTGAATTTTACTATATTTTCTTCATTCCCTTTATAGATCATCTCAGTTTCTATGTGCAGATTTTTTTCCCTAAGCTAACTACTTTTAGCCACTTGTATGCTCCTGTATTAATTCCCCTCTTTTTCCCTTTTGTCTGAATCCTCTAAATCTTCAAGAAAAATAAACTAGTTAACTTTGGATTCTGTCAACAGAAGTATTAAGGTGATTTGCTCTTCCAAATTAATGATGTATGTTGAAAAAACAAATTTTTTGGTGTGGTCTGTGTCATCACTTCCTCTTATGTGAGTAATTGAGAGCTTCTGTTTTATTTTACTATGCATGTAGTAATTCCTTTTTACTTGTTAAAATTTCTACAATAATACAAAGCATATTTTATCGTTAATTAAGAAAAATTTCTCTTTTTCTGATTAGCCAGACATAGGTAAAGGCTGATTTGGTTAAACCCAAGAAGAAAGGAATGCATAATTAATATTCTTACTGTCTTTTGTTGCTTTACTTGGATAAGGAGCTTTCAATTTATATTTAATTTCAGACTTATGGGTAATATTTATGCTTGTTTTAAAACATTTGTATTTTTTATGTTTATACATACAAGGCTTGTGCACCTTATATTTTGCCTGTATTTTTAAAATATAATTTGATATTGTAACCACAATAAGTTTTTTTTAAACAAAATATTATTGGTGCATTTTTCCCCCATCGGAATGAGTCTAAATTGTACTTTTGAGAATGATATAAGGATATGCACATGATTTCCAATTAGCCAGATAATCAAAAGATAAGTCATTAGTGGGGTTTGTTTGTTTAGCAATTTCTAACAGGTTTCAAATACATTCATAGTATCATAAATCCAAAGATTAAGAATACTGTGCACATCTATTCTATTGAGCCTTTTTACTACTTTTATCACGTTGCAGAAAAAGTAATACTGTTCTCATGTGTATCAGAGCCACTTTTTAAAAGGATCTTATGACCAATAGTGTAGAAAAGCCAGAAGCTTTTGTAATTTTTTAATACTGTACTTCAAGTTTTAATTTCAGAATATTTTTCAGTGGTCTCTTTTTAGGTCTTAATGCTTAGCCTTCTACCTTTCCACTTTTGTGGCTTTGCCTGCATTTAATGTATACTTCTAAGTTTGCAGTTAGCCCATAGTCTCCCATCAGATACCTTTATGGGTGTCATCTTTTGGTATTTCCAGTCACTTGTCATCCATTACCAGCCTGTGGATATTTTTTCTCTAAGATAGAGCTATATTACTTGGGAGATGACAAGTGCTCAGAGGATGATGAGATATTATCAAATTGGTGATTAAAAAAGCAGTTTACAAACTAGTTGAATATTGGAGATAATTAGCAAATAATATAAAATAGTGCTATGAAGTATGTGGCACCTTCTGTAATTTAAAGCATAGTGAGGCCAATATGGGCATTTGGAGGAAGTCAGACCTGAAAATTAGAAAGTATTTATATAGCAAAGGGAGATTCATTCCAAAGAAGATAGGCATAGTTGGAAGCAGTATCAGGGAGACCAATCTGAGAGCTTCCAAGGACTGTATTGGAAAAAAAAAAAAAAAAAAAAAAAAAAAAAATATTAAGTAGAGATGTTAGCCCAGGGTATGGTCAGAAGAATAGGATAGACTGGCCATGTGTTTGGCTGTATTATTATGAGCTCATCACTGAAAGGATTATGTATTTACTGACATATTAATAGCTTAAGTTTTGTGTATACTGGGTAGCTTATATGTGTTTGTTTATGTAGCTTACATAAAAGGTCAGCAAACCTTTTTTTTGTAAAGTTGAGGGTAATATTTTAGACTTTGCAAGCTGTTTATAGTCTCTGTAGATAGTCTTATTACTTTTTTTTTTACAGTCTTTTAAAAATGTAAAAATCATTCATAGCTCAAGGATCAAACAAAATAAACTATCTCCTGTGGTCTAGATTTGGCCATCAGGCCTGGTTTGCTGACTTCTAGCTAATAATTGGCTAGATAATTGTACATGTGGTACATTCTATGAAATGTCTTCTATCATTTTCTCTATGTGATTGGTGGTTTGTATGACTGTCATTTAAATATTTTTTTCTTGTACACAAAAAGTGAAGATAATGTGCCAAAATTCTACTACTGTACTTGTTTAGTGTTCAAACTTCTGCCAAGATGCTGGAGTAGTTTTCAGAACTAGGAAGTGAGAGAAGAAAAACCTTTAAGCCAGCCCTGAATGGAAGTGAAAATGCTACACAGTGGCTTAATTTAGAATTTGTATAAAGTTAAGTTTACCAACCGAGTGTGATGGTTTTACATATTTTAAAACTATAACTGGCATTTAGAAACTTTGGCTAGGATATGGTGGCCTATAACTGCAAATGAGTGCAGGCAGTAGGAAATCTAGTTTTTACAAGTAAACTAGGATGAGTTAATAAAAGATCAGACAGTTGGAAATCCTGCAATAACTCCAAGGGACACTTTGTTATGAAACAGACTAATAATTGATATTTAGATTGATGCATTTGAGTCATCAAGAAAAGGTATATCATGGAGATTAAAGCAGCGAAAGTCCTAGAAATATCTTTAAAATATTTCTACTAAGATTATTTTAAGTGAGTTATGTTTAATTTAAAGGATAAATACCAGTTATTTTAAAAAGTCATTTACATGAAACAGCTCTTTAGTTTCCAAATTTATAGAGCATATTTGTAAACCAATGCTTTTTTCCTCAACCCACAGTTTCCTGAACAGTTTACCAGGTAAATAGTGGTGCCTTATGTTTTAGCTATGTAAACCAATGGCTAGGGTTACTCAGTATATTTTGGTATCAAGAGCATAGTATAAGAACATTCTTTGATTCAGCAAGAAGTACTAAATCCTTACTTCAGGGTTAGTTTTAAGTGCTGGAAAAAGTAAAGTTACATAAGATAGGTAGCTAGTGGATAAAATCAGTAGCATTTCTTTATTCCCATTAACATTGAAACCAAACAAAACCACAAAGCTTATGTACTTTTTATGCTTTTGTTACTATTATTTTCCACCCTTTGTAAAAGTATATTCTTAACTAAATATATATAATGAAGTTTTAAGGCAATACAAACCTTTTGAAATAAGTTTCAGCCTTCATAAGTGTTGATTTATTAAATTTTGCTCTAAAAAGAAAGTTACTCCTCACCAACTTTGTCAGTGCTTAAAAACAGCTTTACTATTCTAGCTTCTTCATTTCCTAAGAGATAAAGTGCCTTGATGATGATTCAAATCCAAATTTTAGTTCTGCCTTCATTACTCATTAGCAGTATTAGTTTCAGGTTAGGTTTTTTACAATCCTAGTTTTCTAGTCCTTAAAATAGAGAATAATATCTGCTTTGTTTTTATTACAAATATTGAAGACCCAAAAAGATGTTGTAAACTATGAAAACATTGAAGTATCATGATACTAATGTACTGGAAGCAATGCAGTCTCCCCCTGCTTTAAAAAATTAAGACCAGAAATCTTTTTTTTTTTTTTTTTTTTAATTGAGTTTATTGGTACATTTAGGGATACAGTACAGTTACATTGATTGTTGGGATCATGTACCTTTACATGGCAAGTCTTGATT